GTCAACACGCTGAAAGGGGGCGACCCCGGCGTAGTGGTTAACATCCATACCTCTCACGCCAAAGTCACGAGTTCAAATCTCACCCCCGGACAAGTCACGAATGACCCAAGAGTGTTAAAGTGACTATAATAAAAAAAAAAAAAAAAACACGTTGAAAATATGGGGAATTTACTGGAAGTTTTAAGAACCTCAAAGCGGTTCTCTTAGCATCCGAAAATTTACAGCAACTTTTATTAAGTTCCTAGAATTTCAGAGAGCTTCACAGGTGTCAAGCGAACGTGAGAAATATGGAAAACTTGAGGGGTATTGTGTAATTTTTTAAGAAGTTCTAAGCACCTCATATCAGCTAGATCTAGAAATCTTTGGGGAATTTCATATCTTAAGAGCAGCTCCGATAGCTTTAGTCCAGACTTTTGGAGCAGTTTAAAGATCTTTAATGGTAAATTAAGAAAAATTCAAGTTCCGTGAAGTGCTCAAAAAAAAAAACGAAAACCCTCGAGATGTTCCGAGAATTTCAGGGAAGTACATAGATCTTCAGAGAATTTATAAAAAAAATATTTAAGGAACTTCACAGAAGTCCAGAAAATTTCAGGGAAATTTAAAGGTGTTTACGGGAATTCTATTTATTTCCAAGCAGAACCGAGATCTTCAATAGAATTGAGAGCTTTAGGGAAGCTTCGAGAACATCAAGACAGACCAGAAAATCAAAGGGAAGTTCAAATAATTTCAATGAAGTTTTGGAAACTTAAAAGAAGTTTCGAGAATCTCATGGAATTTTCGGAAACTTCAATAAAGCTCCGAGAGAATTTCTGAAACGTGATAAACAAACGTAAGAGTATTTTAAGGATGTTATACACACTTAGAAATACCTAATCTTACACGTGACGGAATCCATCTTTGACATAAAAGATGAGACGTAAACAAACATGTCATGTAATATTAAGTACTCCGAGACTGAAAAGTTCGTTGCTCGACGAAAAGTACGTTTGATTGAGCTATATTTCACGTCTGTTATGACTTAAATTTATGTCAAAATTGACGCTCGTATATGTCACTCTCAGAGCACCTAAATTTACATGCATTTTTCTAAGTGTGTATCATGAAGATTTTAAGAACTTCAAAAATGCGAAAATTTAGCTAAGGGGTTGTCCATAAACTACGTAGACAGTTTAGGGGGGGGGCTTGACAATTATCCACGGCCCATACAAATTTTAAATTTTTTGTATGGAAAATTGTCTACGCAGGGGGAGGGGGGGTCAAGAAACCCAAAAAACTGTCTACGTAGTTTATGAACAGGCCCTAAGTTGAATAGAGAGCATCAAAGTAGTTCCATTATTTAAAAAAAAATGCGAGAGCTTTTAACAAACAGCAAAGAAATTCCAGAGAAATTCTAATAAATTTAGATATTTTTAGAGAGTTTCATGATATTCAACGATGTTCCGAGTACTTCGAGAAAGATCAGATAGCTTCAGAATAATTCCATTATCCTAAGCAAATTTGCAGCGACTCCGTGGAATTATGGGATATTCCAAGAATTCTATGATTGATCCGAAAACGGCAGAAGTGTCAGGGAGTTATGAATATATAGATCAGAAAATTTGCCAGATTATTAAACAAATTTAGAGAACTTCAGATAAGCATAGATAAGTTCAGCGTAAATTAGTGAGCGTTTATAATGGTTATAATACTTAAGGAAAATTGTTGAAACATGAAGTTTCAATTCAATTAATTTTAGTAAAGTTGTGGGCTCGTAAAAAATACTGATAAATTCAGGGCAGTCTAGGGAACTTTAAAGAAATTCAGTAATCGTTTAGGCAGTTTTAATAACACCAGGAAAGTCTAGACTATTGAAGAAGTTTTAAATTAGTGTCGCTAATGTAAGGAATGTTTCATGAACTTCAGAAAAATCTTGAGAACTTCAGTGAAAATCATAGAACTATATTAATTATTTCGTTATAATTCCAGCCTTCGAAAACATTCCGAGAACTTCACAGATATATATTGATCTTAAGGGAAGATCCGCGCACTTCAAGAATTGTTTTGAACATTAGCAAAATGCGGAAGCTCCGAAAATTGAAGGAATTTCAGGGGGAGGTCAGTTTCATTAGTTTCTGGAAATCAGTGAGAAATTTAAAATAGTTCTCAGATTTTCAGATAACTTCAGAGACGTTAAAAAGCAAATTGAGGTCTTTGTATGAGTTCAGAAGTTCACAGAAGCTTAAACATTTTTAGGACGGTTCAATTGAATTCAGCGCAGTACAATAAGCTTCATGAGAACTGCAAAAACTTTAGAGAATCTCAGAAAAGAACAGAGAACCTCAGTTCCGTTAACATTAGAGAAGTCACATAAATGTTAAAGAAGTTTAGAGAACTTCAGCGAATTTTTAAACCATGTTAGAAAAATTGAGGAAACTAAAAGAAGTCCTATAAAGTTCAATGAAGTTTAAAAATTTGATGAGAAGTATTGTGAGCATCAGGCTAGTCTCTCAAAATACAAATGGACTGCCTGTTTCATTAACTTCGGGAAAATTTGTGGAACTTGGAATATGGAATGGACTATTCTGAGGTCTTCAAAACTACTTTAAAGTTCCACAAATTTTCCCGAAGTTAATGAAACAGGCAGTCCATTTGTATTTTGAGAGACTAGCCTGACGAAGTGAAATATTCCTCAAAATTTCGTTAAAAATATGCTACGAATTCAATTTTCTTTTTTTTTTCCTCGGAAATTCTCCGCAATAAGAATTCTCTTAATTTCATTTCAGATTTCCTTTTTAATCACACTCCTTTCCTTGGAATTCTACTCATTGGCATGTCTCCTCAATTCCTTAGATTTTTTGTCATAATTTGTTTAGAAAACTCTCCTGAATTTATTTTCCGAATTCTTTTGAAGATGTCTTGGAGGTCAAATACGTGCCAAAAGTAGCCAATCCGCCAAACTGTTTAGAACTTCGCCCAATAGAAAGGTGCTGGCGTGCACTACATCATCGACATCTTCGTCAGCAACATGGGAGACAACATCTCGCAACCTGTGACCCACCAGGAGCTGAGTTTGGACCACTATCCGGTGGTGGCCAAAGTGGGCTCATCCGTCAACCGATTCCAAACTTCCCGACGCAACTATCACCGTGTCAGCTGGGATCAGTTCCAACATTGTGTCGACTCCATTGTCGACTACGGTGTTCTTCTGAAGACGCCCGATGACGTTGACATGCATCGCATCGCATTGCATCGAGGAGGCGATATCCCGGGCCAGGGAACAACACGTGGCAGTATCCACACAGGTGAACAATACTCTGAACCTAGACAGATCTACAAAAGACCTTATAAGACACCATAACACCATCCAAATGCAGTACCAACGCTTTGGGCTGCCTGTCCTTAATACCCACTGTACTTGCCTAACAAAAATCAATGGTGGAATTCAGAAATCAGGACTTTGCTCACATGATCCGCTCTCTCCCAAAATTCTTAAAAATAAGCCAAGACCCATTCCACCACTGACCCCACTGGATCGTTACGGCGACCCAGTGGTTCATCTGATAACTCCTGAAGAGAAGGCTGGCCCGCTAGGTCAACACTTCGTCAGCTCCCATAATCTCGGACAAAACATCGTCAGCCCTCACGAAGCTGAGGTTGCTGAAAACGCAACCATCCCATCAGATTCCCAATATTTTTTCCGAGGAATCCGAGAATACGGCTCTCGAACTGTTGGCCTTTATAAAATCATCTAAAAACATGAAGGCCCTAGGTTTCGACAACATCCTGAATCTGGAACTCAAACACTTGAGTTCCAGATTGTACAACCATCTGGCACTGATTTTTAATCTGTGCCTCCGACTAGGCTACTTCCCCTCGTACTGGAAGTCAGCTAAAGTCATACCCATCCGGAAACCTGGGAAGGATCCGTTCTCTCCTTCAAGTTATCGACCAATCAGGCTTCTCTCAAGGCCCAAGCGCAATGATAGCGGAAGCGGAACGGCAGCAGTAGCGGAAAAGCCCGATTTGAGTGAGCCTACTCGTCGGAATGAAAACTAGTTAGAACCAAATCGACTTCGGTTAGGCATCTTGATGTCATTAGTGACAACTGTCAAACTTGCCGTTTCCGTTCCGCTTCCGCCCACATTGCGTTTGAGCCTTCAGGGTTATCAAAACTGTTCGAAAGAGCAGTCTACCGCCGGCTCCTAACATGTGCCGAAGAAAACAACAGTTTGGTTTTCGGAAAGGTCGTTTGACTGTCCACCAGCTGCTGGCTCTTCCTGATGGTGGATCGTTGTCTCTGGCGGTGCCTTTTTAAATATCAAAATGGTAGAAGTAAAGAACACGATTGAATTCGACTTTCACAATGGAAGTGCGAAACCAAGTATGGGCGAAATATCCCGTTTTGTAAAGGCAAGTTTTTATTAACATCACCGATCAATTAGGAAAAAATCATAGCATTAGCCCGGAGCAAGAAAATTTTTGTTATGCTGATGGAAAGGCTGTGGAGGAATGCATATTGCCTGCTGGGACAAAGTTCATGTGAATATACGATCTGCCACCAGAGGTTCCGGATCGCAATCTAGCGGAACAAAAACAGGAAAAGGAAAAGGTAAAAGTACTTGAGGAATGGGTGGACATGAACGTTACGACACCGGAGACTGAGGAGAAATTGTGAAGAGAATGCAAGGATCCAAGTGATGCCGGGCAACTGACGCTGGTTGAACTAAGCTTTATACGCTTTGAGAACTGTGATCGCATGATAGTTCTCATATTCCAACTTGTCCCTCATTTTTAATAAAGCCAATGGGTGATCTAATCGTTGTTTAGTATTTTGTAAGTTGTTTATAAGCATTATCCAACTTTCCACTTTCCTGGACCTTATGAAAACGGTATTGCAGTCGTTGCAAGTTAATGTAAATTGAAATGTGTAAATTCCCAATTATAGATTATTAACCAAAGCGTGGGAAAAAAATACATTATTTGCATCATGTGGGACTGGCACACTTTGCAAGAACAAGGAATACATTTTCGTTACTTTATTCAAATTACTGTCTAAAAATAAATAAAATAAGTTTATTTTCATTTAGGATTCACTAGCTTTGAAGATTTCTCACACGTTCGCGAAACGTTTTTCATTGGAATCACGTCTTTAACTCTCATTTCCAAGTGCTCTACTACCATACTCGTCATGTATGGAAGAAGCAGCCGTCGTCCGATTTGATCAGAAAAAGTCAACTTTGTGGCCACAAAAGATGTCAATAGTTGGTGTAGTATCAGCATAATCATTATCATCTCAATCACTTGAGCATTCGGAGTCCGTTGATCGTTTGCCGGGGTCGTTCTAGCTGTGGTTCGAGGTGAGCCATCGGAATTGCTTAGGCCAGAGCTTCGCCAACCGAGCGCTGCAGAGTGGAAGCGACGGCACCGTCCAGCCCGGTGAGGAAACGCTGCAGATCGACGTTCTGGGCGAAGGGAATGTCCTCCTGCACGTTTACCAGTGGGATTACTCCGGAATCGATGACGGTTTCATAGGGAGCGAGAAACTGGATACGGCTTCCGATCTGCACACCTTCCTGGTAAAAGGGTAGGTTCTGAGGCCTCGCCAGGACGGCTACGAACAGTGCACACAGGAAAAACAGGATCTTCATTTTGTGACTGTAATAGAGAGAAGTCGTTGGTGTTTTGTAATCCACAGATGTTGAAAATCACTGCAAAAGTACACTCAACAATATGTTTTCACAAAATCAAATCTTCTAGACGAACTACACAGACACAAAACTTAATCCTTTGTTTTTTTTGGAATCCACTGCGGAACGAAACGCTTACCTCTGTCTTCTAAGGAATCTTAAACCATAGAACATAGCTGCTTTGGATGATTCGAGCTTTTATATCGCCAAAATCCGCGTTGGCTTTTCTTCGAAAAACGAGCTGTCCCTTCCCCGAGGCACCTCCAAGTCGTTTGTCCACAAACAAACTGAAAATACAAACCAAAATCATAACAAAAAAAAAAAAAAACGAAATCTTCCTCCGAGTCCAATAATCTCAAGCTAAACAAGTCGAGCGCCAAAGCAAAAAAAAAAAAAGTAGTCTAACGCCTCACTCCATTCCTACTGCGGTTATTGGGGAGATAAGCGAGCATAATAAAAAAAAATGTATCGCCAAACGGCCATATTCAAATGAGGATCCGCTCGTGAATCTGTTTTCCTTCGTTTTGCTTCGCTTTCGGAAGGATTTTGGGCGTTGGTTGATCGGATCGGATATTGTTGGTTGTTGGATGCTGTGAAAAGTATTAAAATATTTGCATTGTGCATCTCTGAGTTTGAAGCTTGTTTGATATGTGAATGACATCAGAAAATTAACATAGATTTCAACTCCTATGCATATTTATGGCCAGTAGAGCTGCTATGCACTATGCACAAATTTGATGCATAATGCAGTTTGCATCTCGTGTAGACAAGTTTTTTCCTTCTTCTTCTGGCAATCTACTTACGCTTTTATTGAAAACACAAGGACCTCATGTGGCTGCGTTTTTGAATGTCATGATCGAACTATTGTCACCTCCCCCGGGACAGAGAGTTACATCACCTCAACCGCCGCATTTTTTTTCTAAGCCGTTCCGCTGACTTTTTTTATCCAAGCAGTTCACTTAGGACTAACGAGCATAATTACTCCTGAATTTTCCTCAAAATTCTCTAATGGCTCCAACCGGTATTATCCTCGGATTGAATCCCGATAAAGAATGTCCAGCTGCTGTGATGTCGACATCAGAGTTAATCATCACGACTCTAAGCAAACATTTTACAGATCTTCCAAACAGGGTCGATATTCAAAGTTAATGCGAGCTAGAGCTTACTCTCATAAGTGTTCTACATTTAAATGCAATAGGGAAGAGAGGGTCCAACAGGGCACCCGGTTGAAGCAATTTGAATGCAGGGCTGACGCAGGATGAGGGCTTGTTGTGTTGTTGTTATATGATCTAGTCTGCTGGAAGAAGATTCTTCTGTTCCCTGTGGGTTTCGCGTAGGCGTTTCTGCTTTTGGCCCTTCATACAGCACCATGCTGAATTTAATTTGTCAGTAGGACTTGATCAAGTAGTCCTGATTAGATGGCCCATTGCCAGGGAATCAAAATGAACGATTCAGATAAAGATAATGGCATTCTCATTTTGGTTACACTCATGATTAGTACAAATCCATAAATCACAATGGACAGTTCTGGAAACGATAATGCGATTATTATTTGTGTAACAGATCATGATCATATGAAATAGCGATAATCTCAGATCATCATCATCAGCTCTCGTTACTGAAAATTCCCCATTTAAGACAAGGCTTATCAAATACCCATTAATATGTGAATTTTCGGAATGAGGATAACGTATAGAGATCGAAAAGCTATGTTTGCCGCCATTATGAAATCCAAGATGGTGGCCATCGATTTATGAAAAACTGTCGAAAATTGATGTCCGCCACCATTTGGAAATGCAAGATTACCCTGCAATGTGGGTATTTTCGGAACAGGGATAGCATGCAGATGTAGAAAATTAATATCTGCCGCGTCAGTCCGCATCGTGCTCTCTTGCCGTGCGGATCTATTTGCTTTTTGCTGAAGGCAGTGTTTCTACTACCTAAAGCTACAACAAATTTAAACAGCACTTTTCAGTGCTCAACCTGTAAAATTTTTCTACCTTGTTCAACTCTTACTCCTCTTCGATCCTTGTTTGGACCCTACCCGAGGTAATCCTTCTTGGATATCGATTTGGAAAATTCCTCTTCGATCCTTCAGATTCTTATAGTAATCTGCTTGGAAGTCGATTTGGATAAAAATTTACTGCCGCCATGGCGCCTAAACGCAAAAGAAAGGGGCAAACTCTTGACCCCCCTTCTGATGAAATTAATTTGAGTAATCAATTTGATTTGCTCACGGATGATGAGAATGATCCATCATCCAAGAAAAATTCTAGTAAACTTTCGCGGCTTAATGCCAATAAGGAAAAGATTCCCCCTATTGTGATAACCACTTCCGATTTCCATGCTCTTCGCATGGAACTTTTGAATTTCGTGAAAGTTAAGTTTTCACTACAAATTGGACGTCGGGGTGAATGCCGTGTATTGGCTGAAACCTTGGACGGATTTAAATGTCTTCTCAAGTATCTTACTGAGAAGAAGCACAAATTTTTTACTTACGACACCAAAACTGAACGTGTGTTCAAGGTTGTCATGAAAGGACTGCCCAGTGGTGAATCCCTGGATCAGATCAAAGATGAACTGGCAAAATTACTTGGAGTTGTGCCACTCCAAGTAATCAAAATGAAAATGAAATCCCGTCCTGGCGATTCGCGCAACGGGATTTCTAATGATTTTTATTTAGTTCACTTCAAGTCTAGTGATCTAAACAACCTTAAGGCCTTAGAAAAAGCTAGCCTTATGCTCCATGTCCGAGTGAAGTGGGAACACTTCAGGAAGACTGGAGGAAATTTCCAAAACCTCACTCAGTGCCGTAAGTGCCAGGGATGGGGTCACGGAACTAAAAATTGCTACATGCCAGCTAAATGCATGAATTGTGGTGATTCCTCTCACGCAAAGGACGACTGTCCTGTGAAGGAAGATCCTAAGAAATTTAAATGTTCAAATTGTGGTGAAAACCACAAATCCAATTTTTGGGAATGTAAGACTCGCAAAGCGATCCTACAATCTCGTTCTAACCGACAGGTAAGAAACGCTCCACGTTTCCGACCAGGTACAAATTCCTCTGCTGTTAACAACGGTCAGCGAGGAACAAATTCTACATACGTACCCGTAGGTACAAATATCACCCCTGCTTCAAATTTTTCATCTGTACCTACTCCTCTCGCTGCTAACAATGTTCAGCGAGTTAATGGAGCTACCTATGCTGCTATTGCACCGGGTAGAAATCAAAATACTAACCAAAGTAATCCTAACGGAAATTTTGACAATTTTGACTTAGGAAGCATTACTGCCCCTAAAATGGAATTTTTACAGAAATCATTAATTGACATGATTTTTGATATGCTTAAATCTAAATCCATGTTTGATGCTATTCAAACTGGAGTAAAATTTGCAAATAATATTGTCATGACTTTAAAATTCAGTAATGGATTTTAAAGCATTAAATATTGTAAATTGGAATGCTCGATCTCTTAAAGATAATGAGAGCTATTCAACTTTTTAAGAGTTCATAGCGTGCACATTGCCGTTATAACTGAAACGTTCCTTAAACCTGACCATAAGGTCAAGAAGGACGCAAATTACTTGATTTATAGAAATGATCGTCTTGATGGACCCTGTGGTGGCGTTGCCATCATTATTCATAGACGAATCAAACATAAAATTCTTTCTTCATTTGAAACCAAAGTTTTTGAAACTTTGGGAGTTTCTGTTGAAACAAAATTTGGACAACTTACGTTTATAGCTGCCTATTTGCCATTCCAATGCGTAGGCCAGAAAAAGAATTTTCTCAAGGGTGACCTCCAGAAACTTACCCGTCATAGGTCTAAATTCTTCATTATTGGTGATTTTAATGCAAAACACCGCTCATGGAATAATGCTCAAAGCAATTCCAATGGTAATATTCTGTTTGATGATTGTTCTGCAGGTTATTACACTATTCAATATCCAAACAGCCCAACATGCTTTTCTTCTGCGAGAAATCCCTCAACTATTGATTTGGTCTTAACTGATTCATGTCAACTTTGTAGCCAACTGGTTACTCATGCTGACTTCGGTTCTGATCACCTTCCAGTAACTTTTGAAATATCCCAAGAAATAATTTCTAATCCCAACAGCTCTACTTTCAATTACCATAGAGCTGATTGGGAGCAGTATCGAACATTTATGGAATATAACTTCAATCCAAACATTCCTTTGCAAACCAAAGATGAAATTAATTATGCTCTTGAATTACTGACTACTTCTATAGTTGCAGCAAGAGCTGCCTCAGTACCAAAATGCGAGGTTAAATTCGATTCAATTATAATAGACGACGATCTTCAGCTCTTGATCCGTCTTAAAAATGTCCGTAGGAGACAATATCAAAGAACACGCGATCCTGCCATGAAGGTTATCTGGCGGGATTTGCAAAAACAAATTAAAAAGCGATTCTCTGCCCTGAGGAACAAAACTTTTGAAAATAATATTTCTTAATTAGACCCGAGTTCCAAACCCTTTTGGAAACTCACAAAAATTTTGAAAAAAACCTCAAAAGCCTATTCCAGCGCTTAAAGAAGATGGTAAAATTTTGATCACAAATTTGGAAAAAGCTCAGAAACTTGCTAAGAAATTCGAGAGTTCCCATAATTTCAGTTTGGGTCTTACTAGTCCTATTGAGAATAAGGTTGCTCGGGATTATCTGAATATTTTCTCTCGGGAAAATATTTTTGATGATTCCTGGGGGACTGATTTGGACGAAGTAAGGTCTATAACTAAAAAGTTTCAAAATATGAAAGCTCCTGGTGATGATGGAATTTTCTATGTCCTCATCAAAAAACTCCCAGAGAGTATCTTGTCTTTCTTGGTAAAATTATTTAACAGATGGGACAGAGGACACCCCTCACCATCCCTCTCCAAAGGGGGAGTTTGGTAAAGAGAGATGAAAAAACCGATTTGTACCTTCCATAAAAGTTGTCCTAGCTCGCTGTTCTAACATCTATATGCAATCTTCACACTGCCGTACTCTAATGGAACTATCAACTCTATGCTTTCATCTACTCCATCTATCGTATAAAAATTACCACTACAGTCTGTTATTTGAAATTAGCATCTTCAACTATGTAAATCGTTGACTTCACGTAGAAGTAATACTAAAACATATAGTCAAAGTAAGGATTTCAGGATACCTCAAAAACAAGGGCATCATTAATTCATGCGCACTATCGCCGCG